AACAACAAACTAAAAAGTGCATGTGATATTAACAGACGAACTATGCTCATATTTATAATTCCAAACAATCAGTAAGCGACAGGTGCTAGGAAATGCTGTTTTGTACTCATTTATTGACGAGTCGGCTGCGGTGCGGCCAACTGAATGTGCTGCTTCTCTGCCGCTCACTGCACAGAACAGACGCAGAGAGAGGCGACACTTCTCCGGGAAAGTCAGACCTCATGTTCGCGGGACAGCACTGGCGAAATCTTCCAACTGAACCATAGCTAAGGTTTATCCAGAAAAGTCTCTAGGTTTGTCAGTATGAATATTCTATGGAAAAAAGCCGCTAAAAGGGTCTGAAGTTGCTAAATCTAGTGCTAAAGTCGCGCTCGTGTTTGTGAGACGCGGGAGCTGATGGCAGGGGGCGGTGGATATTTGTGGCGGTCAATGTGGATATTGTGGATGAGTTCTTCTGTGTCATCACGTTCTATTAGTTCTACAGCTTCAGTTTCGGAACTTTCACGCTTAGTAACACATACAGCTGTTCCCTCACCAAAGTGCAACAGTGAAAAGGGACCCCTTTCAAACCGTGTCGCGTTCTGAACGATGTTTAAGTGACATACACCGGTATTGCGGTATTTTAAAAATTCATATCATAAGTTAACAAAAATAAACACCGGTATTCGGTATGAACCGGTATACCGCCCAGCACTACAGCCAAGCGAACAAAACTACATAAATGTAATAATAGATAAATGAAATGTGCACTTTTTTTATTTTTATTTTTTTTACATGATTCCCAATTATTTATATTCATGATTTCTAGTGTTTGTACAGGCTTTACATTTTTATTTCAGTGTTGTAATTATGAATTAATTAAATTTTATCTTTGAAGCAGATTTGTTACGTGACAGCGTTAATTAAAGTTTCTTAAGGGTCCAGATCAAGTTATCTGCATCGCCTGCGCTTCATAAAGCCACTCCCATAATATCTGTCACCACTCAAATTAATGCACGATTCAGATTAACTTTATAGCATGTGTATAAGACTCCAATACAATTATAAAGTAATTATTTCATCACTAATACAGTTTTCAACGAGTAAACCTGGCTGTGTGTTATAGATGATGACTACACAACATTATAATATTTTTTGTATTTTTAAATTATTGTTATTGTAAATTATTGTACCTGGATTAGTAGGGTACTCCTCTAATAAAGTAGCAGTGGCTGGGACAGATTTTAAGTATCAGTTCTGCTAACAAAGATGCGATCTAATCCTGTTTACATGAAATAAGCCTCAGCACTACAGCCAAGCGAACAAAACTACATAAATGTAATAATAGATAAATGAAATGTGCACTTTTTTTATTTTTATTTTTTTTACATGATTCCCAATTATTTATATTCATGATTTCTAGTGTTTGTACAGGCTTTACATTTTTATTTCAGTGTTGTAATTATGAATTAATTAAATTTTATCTTTGAAGCAGATTTGTTACGTGACAGCGTTAATTAAAGTTTCTTAAGGGTCCAGATCAAGTTATCTGCATCGCCTGCGCTTCATAAAGCCACTCCCATAATATCTGTCACCACTCAAATTAATGCACGATTCAGATTAACTTTATAGCATGTGTATAAGACTCCAATACAATTATAAAGTAATTATTTCATCACTAATACAGTTTTCAACGAGTAAACCTGGCTGTGTGTTATAGATGATGACTACACAACATTATAATATTTTTTGTATTTTTAAATTATTGTTATTGTAAATTATTGTACCTGGATTAGTAGGGTACTCCTCTAATAAAGTAGCAGTGGCTGGGACAGATTTTAAGGATCAATTCTGCTAACAAAAATGCGATCTAATCCTGTTTACATGAAATAAGCCTGCTCCCGAGCAGGTTTAAGCTTAAGGACCTGTTGCTATGACAGCAACTCCGAGATGAGCTTCGAAGAACCAAACAATCCAAGATCATGCCAAATCGTCAACAATCAAATCCAGCTAACGCGATGTACGAAGAACGGGCCCCAGATATCTCATTATGCATTTGTTTTACTTATTAGTTTTACTCCGCTATGCACAACCCATGTGCATCTAAATGACTGGTGCTGATTGTTCTCAAGTTTTATATCATTATACAGTTTCTTGTTGTGAAATAATGTTCAAAAGCTACATTACTTATGCTGTAAGTGTCATTGTTTTGCTTTATAGGGAGATTCTAGTGGAAGAGAGTAATGTTCAGAGGGTAGATTCTCCCGTCACAGTGAGTATTTCTGTATACATTACCTTTTATAACCTTTTATAGGATTATGTAATTGTGAAAGCAGCTCATTATTTTTTTTTCAGGTCTGTGGAGATGTACATGGGCAGTTTTATGATTTAAAGGAGCTATTTAGGGTAAGTGACTGAGAATGCAATATGGCGTTTGTTAAATTTACAATACTTTTACTTTTGAACTTGTATGGACTGGTAGATCAAGTTTCTTAAAAAAAACAACAACAATGCATTGTGCTGTGTTGTTTGACTCTAGTTGTCCTCTGGGTCTTCAGGTGGGAGGTGAAGTTCCAGAGACAAACTACCTCTTCATGGGAGACTTTGTGGACAGAGGGTTCTATAGTGTGGAGACTTTTCTGTTGCTGCTAGCATTAAAGGTGTAGTATCTGTCCTGAAGTTAATCCTGTTTGCTTTGTAATGTGTGTATGTTAAAGCTGTTCTACACTCTGTAGTCTGCTCTTATTCATAGTTATATTAGTTATATTTATGTCTTCAGGTGCGATTCCCTGACCGAATAACGCTGATCAGAGGCAATCACGAGTCGAGGCAGATCACGCAAGTGTATGGCTTTTATGACGAGTGTCTCAGAAAATATGGCTCTGTTACGGTCTGGAGGTACTGCACAGAGATCTTTGACTATTTGTCCCTCTCTGCTATTGTTGATGGCAAGGTAGGTCCTCTTAATTCTGTATCTTTCCACTTTCTATTTTAATATGTTTAACAATATAATCTATTCCTTATTTAGCAGCCATTACTCCAGTCTTCAGTGTCACGTGATTCTTCTGAAATCATTCTAATAGGCTGATTTGGGTCACAAGAAACGTTTCTTATCAATGAAAACAGCTGCTTAATATTTTTGTGAAAACTATTTTTCCTATTCTTTGAACAGGAAGTTCAAAGGAACAACATTTATTTGAAATACAGCTCTGTTGGATGAATGTAAAACTTATTGTCACTTTTGATTCATTTAATGCTGAATAAAAGTATCATGCATATACACTTGTTTTTGCTCCTCAGATATTTTGTGTGCATGGTGGCCTTTCTCCATCTATTCAAACTTTGGATCAGATCAGGACTATTGACCGAAAACAGGAAGTTCCTCATGATGGACCCATGTGTGACCTGCTGTGGTCTGACCCAGAAGGTGAAGGAGACTAATGTGATATTCGACAATAAAGGAAAGGCCATCAATATGTTGTTAATACCTCTCTTTTCTTGTCTCTAGACACCACAGGGTGGGGTGTGAGTCCCAGAGGAGCTGGATATCTGTTTGGTAGTGATGTGGTGGCACAGTTTAATGCTGCCAATGATATCAGCATGATCTGCAGAGCTCATCAGCTGGTGATGGAGGGCTACAAGTGGCATTTCAATGAAACTGTGTTAACGGTGTGGTCTGCTCCAAACTACTGTTATAGGTTTGTTTCTTCTCATCTTACAGTGGTCCAGTAACTCTTGTGTGTATCAGTGACCATTAAGATGTAAATATGCTGGTTTGAATCAATTAATTTACTCTTTTGGAATATTTCTTAGGTGTGGTAATGTGGCAGCCATTTTGGAGCTTGATGAGCATCTCCAGAAGGAGTTTATCATATTTGAAGCTGCACCTCAGGAAACCAGAGGCATCCCCTCTAAGAAACCTGTGGCTGACTACTTCCTTTGACTTTTTCTAGTCCAGGAGAAAAATTGGAAGCATCAGAAACAACATCTGTATAAACTGATTTTTTTTTTTTATGCTGGCCAACTTTTATCTGCACATTCAGTACTTCTGTGAATGGACCAGTTACAGCATTTATTGCCTTCACATTCCTTCCTCATTACAAATGTTTGTATTTATCTTGTAAAATGTATTTGAACCGGTTTTAACTGTCCTTAATTATGTGGTAGTTTTGTATTTTCAAACTGGTGATATTTTTTCCAACAAAAAGAATAAAATAAGTGGGTTTATATATTTGCATATATAAATCTACAAAAACAAGCATATTTTTTAATATGCAGCTGCTTGTATTTATATAGCGGGTGTTCCATATCAGTAATCATTTAGCACTGATAAAAATGTTTGTAATCAAACCTATAAGATTTACAAGATCTTGAATCATAGGCTGTAAAGATGTAAGTGATAAATCATGATGGCAAGGCATCATAGACAAGATCATACACAAAAGATAACACTTTCAGGTGCTCAGTTAAAGGCATTGAGAACTTGCTATACTAAAGTTACTATATATTTTTGAGTCCAATGGTCACAGATTTAAAAATGGAATCTAGTTGATGCGCACAAAGTTGGAAGTTGATTTGGTTCTGACCTATTATTTTACAAAAACATTTTAATGTCCAAATATTGTGGTATTTGATTGCCAACATTAAGCAGATTATGGGTATTCCTATTGCTAGTAAGTAATATTTTTTCTGTTACTGGTAACCTGAAAATATTTCATCTTACTAATGTTACAGAGTGGCCAACTAAAATGGATCAAAGATGTGAGGAGAAATTGCACAATGTTTTACAATGTAAGTTATAATTTATTGTTTTAAAATGCACTTAAACAATGTTTTTTGTCCATCACAACACATTTATGCTCTAAAGAAATCATTCAGTGGGTAATATATTCATTGCAGCCACAAAAAGAATTCCTTAAAAAGGGTAAGATCAAATAAGCAGTGTGGTGAAATGTCGTTATCTTACTGGATTTTTCTTTACTCTTAATTAGATCAACTGTCTTAATTAGATCTCTTAAATGGGAGCTTACAACCAACAATCATATGTACAACTGTTAACCAGATGGCAAGCTCATGATCAAAAACATGATTTTGTCACCACAGAATAATTTAAAAAAACTGAAGCCATAGTGAAAATCTCTGAGACAGATCTTTCTACCTCATCAACAACTCTGTCCCCTAATCTGAGAGCACATACTTGGCAATTTTTGCAAGGTTAAAACCAACGTCAAGAATTTATTTCCCTTGTGTCACTCTTAAGCTTTAATGTTGACATGATCAAATCTGTTGCAAACACCAATGCAAGTACTTATTTGACTCAAGTGCCCCACTGTAACCTCCATTTATTTCATTAAGAAAATGAGGGCCAATTGACTTGTTTTTAACCTGGAGATTTCCTTGAACAAGTATAAAAGAAACAGGCTTTGAGAAAATTCATAATGTCCATGATGTTCAGAGTCAGACCAAACATATTGACACTCTCATATTTCTTGCTCTAGTTTTTTGAGTATGTCAAAATAAAATAAATCAAATCACTTCGGTATTAAATACTTTTTACGGCAAATCATTTTCCTCAAAATATTGAAATGTAGCACAACAGACTACAACACACAGAATAAGTGTATGATTTTTTTTTCTTTTGGTTATTACAGAAAGAGTCATAGACGAGTTCTTAATCAAGCAGTAGTGGTCAGTTCAGTGTAACAGGAAAACTTAATCTGTATGCCTCCATTTCTAGTAGCCATGCTTTACTGGATATTAAGAAAGCATATAGATAATTGAGGTTAACATTTGGTTTATTGGAATGCAATTTTTGGCAGTGTTGTGGCAAACAGTGCACACTTCATATTACTATGTGCCAACTGCCAACACACTTCATATTAATATGTGCCGGATTTTCCTAGTTTCTGTCTGACTTATGTATCTAAGCTACATATCTTTTTATGCGTCATTCAAATTAGACTCATAAAAAGATTTCCTTCATTTATGTTAAAACAGAAAGCACTTTTTACTATTTTCTGTTACCAGTGGGCATTTCTTTCCTTAGCGACTGTCTCTAGGAAATGCAAGTGATTCGCATAAAGGGCCAGGGAGGAGTCAACATCAATCCAGCTCACTTGACCTGCGTCGTCGCCTGCTTGCAATGGAAGCTCACTCACACTATTGCCTAGATGGAAAGAATTGAGTTAAATACGTGGGATAGAACAATCTACTTTACTCAATAAGCCAATAACATATCACCCAAATATTATTACGTGTTTCATCAATACACTGTTTTTACCTGATTCATCATGGAAATTGACTGCAACTGTCTCCATCCAAGCATTATCTGTGTTTCTTGGATCATCTACATAACCTTTATACACCTATAGGAAAAAAGATGCTGTGTTATATAGTGCTGCAATGCTTAAGATGCAGTCACATTTACCGTTGTTTGGTGAAATCCAGTAATTGCAACAGGAATCTGTGTAATCTGTTTTTCGTGAGGGTGAAACAGTTTTCACTTTGTGTTAAATTTGGTCAAACAAATTCACCGTGTTGACCAACAGAAAGCTGCTTGGTTCAAAATTTAATGACATTTATATGCATTATAAAATATATTAAAATAGATCATTTTCTAATTATAATAATATCTCACAATATTACTGTTTTTCCTTTGTTTTTAATCAAATAAATGCAGCCTTGGTGAGCATAAGAGACTTCTTTCAAAAGCATTTAAATATCGTAATTATTCCAAACTTTTGAAGTGTAAGCGCATGGTCTTACCTGAAGACCTGCTGAGTCGAAAAGCTCAGTGATTCGCTTTTGGATCTTTTCCCTCTCACTTGGAGATGCTTGCAGAGAGTTCAATGCCTCTTCTGAGAACTCGCGCTGCAATGTTTGAGAAATGCGCTCTTCAGGGTCCACCATGCCCTGAACACACAGCAACAAATATCATAACCATCTTTTTGCATATTAGCAGAATGAATTTTAAACATGCTCACCCCACAGGTGCTGCTCACTCAAAATAACCACTCTGAAAATGTAAAACAAGCACTGAGGTTCATACTCACCCCTGGGATGGCCCATTCGCCACAGTCCAACCTCTTGATGGACACAAATTGCAGCACAGGGAGTTGAGAGTTAGTGTGGTGGACACACTGTCCTGTAGAGTCTCTTTTCCACCTGTATGAAACCACAGGAAACTGGAATGTGTGTTTAAGAGGGTTTTAAGCATGTGAACCCTGCCACATTACACACAAAATACCTTGCATGCATGGAATTGTTAAACCGGTCCAATGGGAAAGAGATTACATGTAAAAGGTTTGTTTCCATTTATTCTGACACACACTTTAGTACCTGGTAACTATTGGATCAGCGGCATGGTTTGGACCCCACCTTCCCAGTAATCCTCGGCCCTCTAGCCCAGTTCTTCCATGTGGATTACTGAGAATGATTTACAGTGAGTAAAGACATTGATAAGCAGCAATGCAAGCACTGTAAATATTGCAATTATTGAAATATTTTGGATGATCTGGTGTTTTAATGTTTGACTCACAGTGGTTTGCCATTCTGGATATGATATGAGCCCTCGTGGCTTCCCCTGTCCACAGATCCATCCAAAGAATTGAACTGTGGGGAAAATGCACTAAAGAAAGCATAAATAGATTTTTATACATATATTTCCAAACATACATCAGGTAAATCATTATCACTGTAATTCTCTTGTAATACACCGTGTGAATTTTCTTTTAAATCAGAAAATTTGTAGTGTTTGTTTCGCATTAAGACAGTGACTTACCGCCACCTACTGGCGCTTTTAGTATTTAAAACAATCACTTTTCACTTTTTTATCATCATTGCATTTTACTCTATTGAACTTTTTTTTTTAATTTAAAACATTATTAATATTGTAATTATAAAGATAAAAAATGCAATGGAAAGTCCATTTAGGGGGCAAATATTGTCCTTTAATGGAAAAGGTGCAGTCTAAGTGGAAGAGAGGGGGTAAGCAGAAATGCCTCAGGGGGTACTCCACTCTCCACTTTAAACTGCGCATTTTCTGTCAGCATTTTCCTACTATTCTTTTTGGCAGAATTTTTCATTGTAATCAACTTAATTATTTCCTGGATTTTGTATCACCATAGTCCCTAAATGTATGTAAATGCAGGAAATGGGATTCAAATCGAAAACATTGCCCCCATTTTGTGTCACAATGGGAAATTGTGACACAAATCCCCCCCCCCCCACTTCTCAAACCAAAGTTACACCCTTGCTAATATATATATGTACACACACACACACATTTTTAAATATAATATACCGGTACATTATATTATTTATTTATTTGTTTGTTTATTTAATACTCACCCAATCTCTGGGTCAGCCCAAACAGGCTTTTTCAGCACAGTGGGGGCGGTATAGTTAACAGGGCTATACTGGGGCCAGTCTGTGTCCCAATTTACTTTGTCATCTGGAACAGGGAAGCGGGGTGTGTCTGAGCCGGTATATGATGGACAACGAGACTTAACGTGCGCGGCAGGAGACATGCAGACAGATGTTGATGAACAGAGACTGGAAATGCAGCTAACGGCGTTCTTCCTGCTGAAAATTGGTTGAAAGAGACTTTAAAAAAAAAATTTCCATAACAGAACGTTTCTTTCATTTTAAGACTCACGAGTCACAAGTCAACAACAATGAGCACTATCCCTTACCTCCAAAGAGAAAGGAAAAAATGAAATCGCATCATATGACCCCTTTAACCATGGTTTTACCACAAATAAAACCAAAAAACCTATAGTAATCACAAATTTACCACGGTTTTGCTACACTAACCATAGTTTAACCATGGTATTTGTAGAAAAATTGTGGTTATATTGTACAAATGGTAAACAATACACCAAAAAAAAAACATGGTTACTACACTTTCACTACAATAAAACCATGGTTAATTTTCGAGAAAGTACATTATTTAGAAGAGGAAAACTTGTCGATTATACACCTGTCAACCTTGTCACAACTACAGATTAAGAATTTAAATAAATATAAATTATTACATTCATTTACATACCAAACTCCACTTGTACCAGCAGCGTACGGAACCCCAATAAGACTAAGCGCTACATGCACCTATGCAACCCAGTTACGGGAAACTGCTTTCATTCCAAATCTATGAAACCCAGAGCTGCAGTAACCAGGAAGTGAGAGATCAGCCCAGCCTTTTCGGTGACGCAATTCATGCGACTCGCTGCACTGCAGTATATGTGAATCTTCCAAGTAGTAGACCGTACACATTTCGTATACTTAATATGTATATTATACGTATATTGTGTGTACGAAAATCGTACACACAATATAATGGACACAATTAATGCCTTTTGAGATCGTGTGCGTGTGTTTAAATGCATCAAATAATAAATAATATTCAAATGCGTTTAAAGAATGGTTAAATGGTTATATTTACCTCTATCAAATTGGGAAATGAGTATAAAATATCACGATCCAACACCTTTAATATATATGAGATAATATATGACGCCCGTTTTTGTTCCAGTGGTAAATGTTCAGATGATGGAAAATATGACGAACTCGTGTGTTTATCTCACACTTTAACATACCCTCTTTTCCCTTTCACTTTATGTTTTCCCACCACAAACTGTAAATCACGCCGGAGGGCCTACTAACCGTAACCGTGGGAGGCCTCAATCTGCACACCCACTCGAGCACTGTGTAATTGCGTCTGCTTGCTCTGACTTTTCACGCGCAGCGCACGCCCGTCGTACAGGAGAAGTGCGCGTTCGCGCTCACGATCCGTTTAGATGCACGCTCGTTCCGCACTCGCATCCACAGGGGGGCCTTGACCGACTCCTCTTCGACTGTCAAGAAAGCGCATCGTATAACGGCAGCCTTTGTATCCGATAAACCTGTCTTTGATGAGAAGGCAAACAGGAGGCCCTCTTCCTCCCAAAGACTGCACGAAGGCGACTGATTTGTGGACAGAAACGATGGCGGAATCGGGCAGCAGCGCGGCGGCGGCCGGAGCCGCGGGCTCGAATAGCAGCACCGCCGGGGCTGGAGGAGCCGTCGCGCCCGGGGGAGCCAATGGAGCGGCGGGATCCAAGCCTGGCCTGGAGTCGGTGAAGGGACAAAATTTTGACGTTGGCCCCCGATACACCGATCTCCAGTACATCGGGGAGGGGGCCTATGGGATGGTCTGGTAAGCGGAAACTGCTCGTTTTTGCAGTCACACACTTTGGTTGGAGATAACGTTACTGTTGGATCGGGGCGAGAATTAATGGGCTGGTAACGTTACTGATCTCTTCGTAGTAAAGAAAAAGGGTGTTGATTCTCTAAAAGCCTATGCCATTCCGCATTCCCTTTTTATAGAGAGGAAAGAATATATACACGGCGTTTCAAAAGCAACTGAAATTTTTTTTCCGCTCAACAAGTTTCCTTGCATATCCTTCCCAGAAACTCAGAGCTAACAATAGATTGCGAGTAATGCATTGGATTGAATCCCATTTCTTCAGCACTGGCTGTGCTTGAAAGCATAGCGCTCTGCCGACATGAAGAGTATTTTTTTGGCATCATATTCGCGTTCGGAACGTTTAAAACTGCTGTCCAGCTCGCCAGCGTTCAAACACAGCCAGGGTCTCGCTGCATGCGAATCCATGTTATTATGGAGAACACTCGATGAGTTTGGATGTTGAATGTCACTTGTCATTCTTGATTTTAGGAGTGTGCTTTGTTTTGTTTTTTGTGGTGTGAAACTGCATGCTAGTGCTGTTGGCTCCGCCGCTAGCAATCTGACATCTCACTCCGAGCTCGTGAAACAGGCGTGGCTACGATGCGGCCGTATGTGCATGAAGTGGGTTAGCCAACATTTTTGCGGTTTTTCTAGAAATAAGTACCCACCGTTTTTGAGATGTCAGCTGCTGGTAAGACGTGTTTAAATGGTGGTAAAATAGTTAAGGTGCAGAATTCAGAACTGTGCGCGTTGGTCTGTCCTCCATCCTCAAAATGACTGTTAGGTTTTGTTGGAGGATGTAAACAAAACCCCCTGTAATAAAACACAAAGACCTTCCTTCTATGGATATCTTTGGGTAGGGCAATCAGACAGCTGCATAGTAAGAAAATATATAAAGAATCAGATACTAGGCATTTTCCACAAATGCAGTGCACTTTACCGAAAAATGTAAACACTTTAGATATATGTAAAATTGGGATTTTGGCCTGTCCCATCTGAGATTTTCTTATCGTATTTAACAATTAAAATCATACAATATTACTTAAATTATTATAAAATTGTGTTATTTTTTTCGAAAACTTTAGAGTTTTGAATTGATGTTAATATGTTAATTTTGATAAACATTTGTACATTTTTAAAATTTTCAAATGTATACAAATAATGCCCCCCCCACACGTTAGTGCCACGTTAAAAAAAATTAACATGTCAGATTACAGTTGTAAGATTAATCAAATAATTGAAAATTGTAGATTAATTCAACAATTGTAAATGTAAGATTACATATTAAATTTATAATATTTTGAGAAAAAAAGTCAAAATTACGAGAAGGAATAGACTTTTTAAAGATCTCATAATCTTAGATTTTTTTTTTTTACGTGGCACTAAAACGCTGTCCTAGCCTTTTAAAAAACATGGCTGTCTTTATTTTAAAAAAATCTAAATAATATTAACATACGCAAAACACACACAAAACATAGCTAAAACACACACAGCACAGCAGGGATTTAAACAATTTATACACATCTCATAAAAATATAATATTTATCATAGCCTTAGGTTGAAATTCAGGATTGTTCTAAAGTTTAAGCACCTCTGTTCACTTGTTTTAACATTGTTGCCGATGCTACACGAGTTAAAGCTTGTATGAGTTGATTTTTTTTAATACTCCCTCTCATCCCACCATCTCTTTCCCTGCCGCCTGCAGCTCAGCTTTTGATCATGTGAATAAGATCCGAGTGGCCATTAAGAAGATCAGTCCATTTGAACACCAGACCTACTGCCAGCGCACCCTGAGGGAGATCAAAATCCTCCTGCGGTTCCGTCATGAGAACATCATCGGCATCAATGACATCCTGAGAGCTCGTCGCATCGAATATATGAGGGATGTGTATCCTTAAACATGCACACCAACAGGCTCACAATGCAGTAGGCTGAATTGTTGTACATACCATTGTATTTTGGAGATAGTGTGTATCATCACAGTGTTGTGCTGTAGTTCTTTAACTGCATTTCAGCTATATCGTACAGGACCTGATGGAGACCGACCTTTACAAATTGCTGAAAACACAGCAACTCAGCAATGACCATATCTGCTACTTTCTGTACCAGATCCTGCGAGGGCTGAAATACATTCACTCTGCCAATGTGCTGCACAGAGACTTGAAGCCTTCGAACCTTCTCATCAACACCACCTGTGACCTCAAGGTCAGAAAAGTCACACACATTTTCCTGAAGAATGAAACTCCAAACATAAAACTCTAATTCTTAATATGAAAAAAAATGTGTTTAGTACATTGACAGTAACTCAATACAGTAACACAGCAGCTTCAAACAGATAACCTGACATTAAAGAGTAAATATAAAATGAAACCTAATGTGAAATGGAAATCATTTTGTAAGCGATCTATTTCAGTGCAGATATTTTGAGGAACACAGGATTAAATTTAGAAGTGTAGTTCTTGTGCTTTGTTTAATCTTAAAGCAATGATCCTAGTGAAGCTAAATATAGAAATGAGGGGCTTTTTAAAGCAAAATCGCTTGTTGGAGGGTTGTGTGGAGAATAATTATACTTCCTCACCCGTAGATCTGTGACTTTGGGCTGGCACGGATAGCCGACCCAGAACATGACCACACCGGATTCCTCACAGAGTATGTGGCTACTCGCTGGTACCGTGCTCCTGAGATCATGCTCAACTCCAAGGTATGTCTAGGTTATTAGCATTTAACCTATTAACTGGATGCATGTTTTGACATTCTCTGTCTTAATCTTTCAGGGCTACACCAAGTCCATTGATATTTGGTCTGTGGGTTGCATCCTGGCTGAGATGTTGTCTAACAGACCCATCTTCCCTGGGAAGCATTATCTGGACCAGCTCAACCACATATTGGGTAAGAACCAGTGCTTAATGCTCAATGGAATGTCCCCATTTTCAGACTTCTCTTTCATTCTCAAATCTGCGCTACCTGAAGCATAATATTGAAAGAAAAAACACAGAGTCCTGTATTACGACACTGTGACACACTGTATGAGGGTGAGGGCAGGAAACACTCAAGAGAATAGACTATCAGCTGAACAGTGTGCAGTGTCATTATCAGCCACTTCCCTGGTTTACAGGAACATATTAAGCAGCACAACTCTTTTTGACATTGATAATAAGAACGGTTTCTTGAGCACCAAATCAGCATATTAGAAAGATATTATTATATGATTTCTGAAGGATCATGTGACAATGAAGTCTGGAATAATAGCTGAAGAAAATTCAGATTTACTATCACAGGATTAAATTACACTTTAAAATATATTCAAAAAGAAAACTTATTTCTAATAATACAGTAATAAGTAAAACAGCAAATTATTAACAGTAATACTTCATAATATTACTGTTTTTACTTTTTGTTGTTGTTTATAAATTAAAGGCAGCCTTGGTGAGCATAAGAGACTCATAGAAATCAAAGAAAACACCAAACCTTTGAACTGTGAACATTTGTATATTTTGCTTTTTGACATTTTTTTTTATTATGCATTTAGTACAATTTATATTAATTTTATTATTATATTTAAAGGGGTGGTTCATTGCTATTTCACTTTTTTAACATTAGTTAGTGTGTAATGTTGCTGTTTAAGCATTAACACGTGTTAGACTGCACCCCATAAACACAATCAAGCCTAGAAAAAAAACACTGAACCACCCCTTTAAGTGGCAACCCAGTACAGTACCAACATTTTTTTATCATATAAAATTGTAAAAATGTCCTTAATCAAACACTGAAGTTTATTATTAGTAATACTACTAATATTATTAGTAAATGTAGCATTATTTTTATTATATAAATAATTTACTTTTGTTGCAAGTGAACATACATTCATTCCTCTGCGGTTTGCTCGTCAATAGCGCGGTATTGCGATATTGCGGTTATCGCGACAGCCCTAATTATGGATTGAGAATATCTACCAAGATTTTAAATGAATTTACGCCAAACGTTTGACGGCATTCACAACTTTTGAAGTGCATCCAGAATCATGTTCTACTCCCTTAAAAAGTGGATAATCTCATTTCTTTTTTATCTTAACTATGCACAATAACAGGTTAGTTGCATTTTATTATATCCTTTAGCATTTTCTTCCCTGCTGTCCATGACCCATCAGGGCTGCTTTCCCAAAAGCCCAAGTAGATCGTAGAAACAATGGTTTTCAGTTGAGGACCACTGTATTGTTGTTATTTGACCCATTTGGTAATGCAACCATTTGGTAATGCAGATCATTTTCCTGCCAAGATAAAAAGAGGAAAAATGTACATTTAAAAACTTCAGCTTTGTTTTATCTGTCCATCTCTATTTCTTGCTGGGAAGCTGTGCGCTAGTTTGGGCTTAAATCATCTTATCATAACGCCATTAATGGGGGCAGACAGACTCGCTATTCTCATCGCATACCGCACACAGCTCCTGCTCTCTGAAACAACTGCATCTATCAATACCCTGCTTCTCTCTCTGTTTGTATCCATCTCTTTCTCTTTATGTCTCTCTCGAGGGTGTCTTTCTACTGGTCTGTGTTGGGTTTTTTTTCCCATTCCACAGAGATGGAGAGAGAGAAGGAGAATCTCTATGATGGGCACTGACTGGTGTGTGTGTATATATAAGTGGTTTTGAGTTTCATTGGCGTATTGTAAGTTGGCAATCTGTTTGTACACTGTAATTTGAACGTTACGATCAGTTACAAATCGTGTTTTGTAATTTTGGGAATTTATATTTGAATAGCTTTTGAAATATAAAGTCATTGCTTGTGTTTCTTTTTTTTTTAATTCATTCAAAGACAAATGATGTTACATTTAATGAGGTTGGACTTTTATTTTGTTTTCTATTGCGAGGAAAAATAAGTCTTGCTTTGGTTCTTGAGAAATAAATTGAGTAAAAGAGAAATGGCAACAGGCAGGATGAACGGAGGAAAGAGCGAGATGGAATAGTATCATCTGCTGTAAAATATCATGTTCTACTGTTGAGAACTGAGACTCTTGCAAATGTTCTTGGGAAAATTAAGCCATCAGTATCATCTTTTTTTTTTTTTTTTTAATGCTGGCTTCCTTTCCCTGTTTCTTCTCCTCTCGCTCGTCTGTTCATTTGATGGAGGTTCTGTGGCTTGCAGACCTCCATTGTGCGTTCTTTTGCGTTTTTAGGGGGGTTGATCCTGATTTCTTTGTGAATAACAATAGTTGTCATTGGTTACCATGTCCATGGCTACTGTTGCCATGTTTCCTTTCTGATAAGTCACACATAGTTCCCCACATTCTGGCTTTGTTACTTGCAGATGTTGGTCCCTTTCTCTTTTTCTTTCGCGTCATCCTTTTTCTCTTGTTTTGTTTTTCTTCACTTGTCCTGGAGTGATTGAGGAGTCATAGCCATAACTCCAGACAACCTGCGAAAACATATACATGCATATATACATTAAAAAATCAAGATAAAAAGAGGAAAAATGTACATTTAAAAACTTCAGCTTTGTTTTATCTGTCCATCTCTATTTCTTGCTGGGAAGCTGTGCGCTAGTTTGGGCTTAAATCATCTTATCATAACGCCATTAATGGGGGCAGACAGACTCGCTATTCTCATCGCACACAGCTCCTGCTCTCTGAAACAACTGCATCTACCAATA